GAATTCATTCAGAAGTTTATCCCTATATTCTTTTAGTTCTTTGTTTGTCCGTGTGTTCTTTAAATGTGTTGAGTTCCTTGATCATGTTTAAGATTGTTCTTTTAATTTCAGTGTCCTGGGTTATCTTTAGGGGGTTCTCATTGTAGAACCTTCTACAGGACTGATGGAGTTTGGTGAGGACATAGTGTTTTAGCCTTCCATTTTATTATTCTTTCATTGTGATTTTGGCATGTGAAATTCTTCTGCTGTTTGATTCTGATATGAGAATTAACTTGAAGTATGTTTCTGTTTGTATAATTGCTGTGCCTAGGTCCTTTCCTCATTAGTTATGTAAAGCCAGTTGGTACAGGTTTCAGGTTATCTCAGGTTTTGTTTTGGAGGGAACTCATTGCTTCAGATCAGCTATTCAAGTGCACCACGAAGCCCAATTCAGGTTCCAGTCAGGTACACTCAGGCTTCCTTCACCACATCCTGAGGGCAGGATCTGGGTGCCCTCAGCCAGTCCCCTGTGTTCTCAGTCCCTATGCCAGAGGGAGGCCAGAACTTGTCACTATCTGGCTGTTTGTGGAGATCAGAGCTACTACACCAATGGAGGTTAAAACCTACCCTCTCCGGCTGTCTGCTAGGATTTCAGCTTTAGCCTACCAAAGCCAGATCTTCCCTGGGTCCCTGAGATGGGCCCATTTAATGTCTGCCTGCATTTAAGTATGATGCTGACTGCATATTTTGTGCTCCTATTTCTGATTTTTAAATTATTTAATTAATTAATTATTAATTTGTTACCTTTTCATGTGTATGAATTTGTTGACTACCTGTAGGTAGAATTACCCCTGTAATACAATGCCTATGGAGGTCAGTAGAGGGCAGCAGACCCACTGGAACTGGAACTAAGGAGTATTGTTTGTTACTTGCCATGTAGGTGCTGGGAACTGAACCTTGTTCCTTTGCAAGAGCAGCCAGTACTCTTAAACACTGAGCTATCTCTTCAGGCCTGTGATTTATTTTTAATGTTTTTATCAATTCTTTTAGTTGTAAACAATTCATTTTTATTATATTTAGATGCCTGTCCCCAAGTCTACCCCACATTACTAACACCAAGCCTGACAACATGTCCTCTGTTATTACAGTATTTGAAAGGCCCATGTAGTGTAATTTTTGTTCCCCAAATGTTCTCCAGTGTGGGTCTGTCCTTCAGAGACTTGACAACTTGCCCAGCATCTTCATGTATCTTTACTTGGAAAATTTTAAATAAAAGTTAACCCCCAAATCCTCCTATTTTTATTATTATCAGTTATGTAAAAGACAAATAATGAGATTAAAATAATTTCATATGTGAATATCGCCTGGATCCTGCCTCTACATGGTGATAAGAGTTACGCAATTTGGGAGTCTTTTTAGATATAGCCACTGAATCAGGGGTACTCCAACTGCTTCACCCTGTGTCCCTGTTCAGTATGGAAGAAGCCAGAGCAGCCTGCATTTGCTTTTACACCCATAGGTTAAGTCATAGCAGTCACTATTTAGATAGTCTTTTTTCTTGCTGTGTGTTTTTATAGTAGATGCAATCCCACAGACACTGGGCAAAAGTTCATGGAAAACAAATGATGCAGAGACCCGAATGCTCAGTACCTTGCCATAATGACAGGAAGATCACCCCACACCTACCAGCCCCTCCAAATTCTCAGAGGCTTTTGTGGAAGTGGTTGGCAGAAAGAATGTAAGAGCTGGAGGAAGGGGTGGAGTTTTATATGGAAGTGTCCTCTGAAGACTATGTGAGCAAGTTATACTTACAACTCCTTCCCATGCTCATTAATGAGTCGAGTGTGGAGTCAGTTACCCCTCCCACCCAATCAGTTGACCTTAGCTTTATGTGGGGAGGGGCAAAGGATATAAAAGCCAAGAATGCCAGGAGTCACCTCTCTTACCATTTTGTGCAGCTATTGGGAGGTCACAGGATCTGCATTTGAGTGTGGACTTTCCAGCAGCTGTAAATAGGGGATGAGCACTTTTCTGTAAATAAACCCCTACCCTACTCATTGTTAGCAAGCCCAATAAACTAGTTATGATTTTAAAAAATGAAAAGAACAGAGATAATGGAAACCTTCATTATTCAACCAAAATTAACCCTATGTTGGCAAATCCTTTGGTTTTTGTTTTTTTCTCCCTTTTCATGGACTTTTTGGGACAGGGATTCCCTGTGACCCCAGCTGCCCTGAAGCTTGCTGTGTAGACAGAGCTAGCCTTGAATACACAGAGATCTTCCATGCTCTGCCTGCCAAGTTCTGGGATTGAGGACATATGCCACCATGCCCAGCTATAGTCTTTGATTTCTTATCCCTACTTTTCTACCCTTAAACTTCATTGTATACATATCCTGATGTAACCTGCTTCAAGTTCTTTCTGGAATAATATGTTAAAAATTTCCTCTCTTTGGAATAACAAAAATATTCTGAAGCATCAATTCAGCAACCACAGGGTCCAGATTAGGAGCTTTCCATAAATTTGTACTGAGCACGTTCAACCTACACAATAATGTGATTTGAGACAAGGTTCTATAGTGATCATTTTGTAAGATTTTATTCTCAGATTTAAATATTTATATGCCATATTACTTGGAGTAGTTTTATCTTAGTAAATATGCGACTTTAGCACACACTGGTCCCCCAGAGTGCTTGATATTTAACTGTGGGTATGACATTTATACTGTTTGGCTGCATTTAATTAGGATGGTGACTGCATATTTCATGTTCCTCTTTCTGATTTAAAAAAACATTTTATTAATTAATGTATTTATTTATTGCCTTTCCATGTGTATCAATTTATTGCCTGTGGGTGGAATCACCTGTGCCATTCAATGCCCATGGAGGTCAGTAGATAGCATCAGATCCACTGAAAATGAGTTAAGGATGATTGTTAGCTGTCATGTGGATGCTGGGAACTGATCCTTGGTCCTTTGCCAGAGCAGCCAGTGCCCTTAAACACTGAGCCATCTCTCCATCCCTGTGATTTATTTTTTAAATGTTTTTGTTAATTCTTTTAGCACTGCAAACAATGTTTTGATATTTACATGGCTGTCCCTATGTCTATACCACACTACTACCATCAAGCCTGACACCATGTCCTCTGTTATTACAGTTTTTGAAAGGCCTATGCTGTGTAATTTGTGTTCCCCAAATGTTCCCCAGCGTGGGTCTGTCCTTCAGAGACTTAACAACTTGCCCAGCATCTTTCTTCATGTATTCTTCCTTGGAAATTATTTAGTAAAAGTTGCCTCCCAAATCCTCCTATTTTTATTATTATCAGTTTTCTACAAGACAAACAACGAAATCAAAATAATTTCATGTCATAAAACTGTTTTGCTGAGGTATGAATATTTTTGCCCAAATAATCTCAATCCTTCTGTTACAAACTATTCCCTAATATGTTATCAATTATGTGTTTATGGAGTATGAGTAATTCTGGAAGAGTCTGAAATCAAGAATGCAGTTACTCCTTTTTAAGAGAAGTTAAGGGAGTCTCATTACCCCTTCAGTCATATGGGAATGGAACAAATAAGTGTCTTTGTCACTCAGTGGACTCAGCAGCCATGGAATTTATTGGTAATAGCATCTAGAACTTTCCAGTCTCTAGGGCTGTGAGCCTAACCCAGTCTATGGTCTACCATTCAATCACCTCCACAGACTCTGTGCTAACTGTTCTTTTCCTGGAATTTTAGCTCCAATTATCAACCTGGTTTTTTTTTTTTCACCAATCAACCTGTCTCACAAGATAGCCCTTCTTCATTTATTTGGTTTACCTTGGCAAATCTCATTTGTGTAAATGTATATAAAGTTTTCTCAATACTCACATAGCTCTATTTGCTCATATTTATGTAAAAAATTTGAAAATTTTAAGGTATATCAATATTAAATATTCTAAAATCAATGCATGATGTCACTTTTGCAGGTGTTATGTTTGAATATATGCATATGTTATACATTCATAAATATACTATATATATATAAACCCCTACCCTATGCACTGTTAGCAAGCCCAATGAACTAGTTAGGATTTAAAACTAACAAATACTGTACAGTCTTCAGAAAGCCACAGTACTAGGAATATAACTAAGTTTCCTGCAGATACAATTCTATCTACACATATATCAATATACATTTTCATGTAAATATAACTTATAATATCTAAAATTATGGCTTTTATTTTATTGCATCATAATACTCTGGCTCTGGCTGGGAATACAAGGTCTTCAATGTTCACCATTGTCTGCCATTTTCAAAAAACCTTGCTTAAAATATAATAGGATAGTACAATGTTAAAATCACAAATCTTACAAGATTAATTTCAAATTTTCTCCAATGTCTATTGTTTTAACCATGTCAAGCAAAACTGAAAACAGCTAAACACTCTTTTGATTGTGGAAACTCGATACTTATGTGTTTTATTCACACTGTGTATTCTTTGATAGTAAATAATGAGATGTTTACTTGGAGGGGAGACGTTTGTAAATGGTGGCTTATTTTACTTTACTTCTAGGTTTTCTCTACAATAAGAATTCTGTGGTATTCATAAGATTGGATAGAAAAGTAAAATAAAGGCTTTCTCACATTCTTTATCTTTCTCGTTTCTTCCTCATGAGTTCTTTTTATTGACATGGAAATAAATTTTTATTACACATTATGCCATTTTGTATTTAACTCTAAATTTTTTTTAGTATAGTGTGAAGTTTTTTAATACATAAATATAAATGTTTCAACATTGTCTTTACTTTGAAACATGGATTCTGTTTTGTTTTATAAGGGTTGAGCCCAGAGTAAAGGATTTCCAAATTATCTGCAATTGTAAACTGTCTCTGCAGTATGAATTTTTGGTAAATTTACCACCATCTGATATATGGTAAAAGGAAATTCCGAATCACTTATATTTTTAGTGTCTTCTTTTATTATGCATTATTTGATGTTCTCTAAGAATTGAAATATGAGTAAAGGACTTTCATTGCCTTTTCATTTGTAGGGTTTCTCTCCAGTGTGAATTCTCTGATAAAACCTTAAATGTGACAGAGAAGTAAAGGACTTGCCACATGCTTCACACCTGTAGGATTTTCCTCCAGTATGAATTCTGTAATGAGCCGTAAGTGATGAGCATGTAGTAAAGGACTTGTCACATCCTTCACATCTGTGGGTTTTCTCTCCAGTATGAATACTTTCATGACTTCTAAGATGTGGGGGCTGGGTAAAGAACTTATCACATTCTTCATATCTGTCATGTTCTTCTCCACTATGAACTCTGTAATGATTCTTTAATGTTGAGCTTGAAGTAAAAGACCTGTCACATTCTTCATATTTGTAGGGCTTCTTTCTAGGATGGATTTTTTTATGATGTCTAAGATTTGAGTAATGGATAAAACACTTGTCACATTCTTTACATCTGTATGTTTTCTCTCCAGAATGCACTGCCTGATATATTCTAAGATGACATTCGAAGAAAGCACATGTCACATTCTTCACATTTGTAGGGTTCCTCTCTAGTATGAATATTTTTACGATTTCCAAGATATGAGGCCGTAGTAAAGCACTTGTCACATTCTTCACATCTGGAGGGTTTTTCTCCAGTATGAATTCTGTAACGTGTCCTAAGTTTGGAGTTCTGAGTAAAAGATTTTGCCCATTCTTCACATTTGTAGTGTTTCTCTCCATTATGAATACTTTTATGATTTTGAAGATGTGTGGCCTGGGTAAAGGACTTATCATGTTCTTCAGATCTATAGCGTTTTACTCCAGTATGAATTCTGTAATGACTCGATGTTGAGCGCAAAGTCAAGGACCTGCCACATTCTTCACATTTGTATATGAATGTGAATGAATACTTTTATGATTTCTAAGACATGATGCCTTGGTAAAGCACTTGTCACATTCTCCACATAAGTAGGGTATTTCTGAAGTATGAATTCTGTAATGACTCTTAAGTATTGAGTAAAGGACATGTCACATTTACATTCTTCACATTTGTAGGGTTTCTCTCCAGCATGAATTCCCTGATGTAATTCAGATATCTGTTTATTATTTGTCCAGTTGACCTCTTTAATGGAGAATGTGGGGTAGTGAAGTCCCCTACTATTACTGAGTTGGGGTTAATCTGTGTCTTTAAAGTCCTGTAGTGTTGTTTATATGAATTTGAGTGTACCTGAGTGCTGTGCATATATTTCAGGATTGTAATATCTTCTTGGTTAGTTGTTCCATTGATCAGAATGAAGTGACCCACCTTATCTCTTCTGATTTGTTTTACTTTGAATTCTATTTTGTGAGATATTAGAATTGCAAACCTTGCTTGTTTCTTAGTGCTATTTGTTTAGAATATTCTTTTCCATCCTTTCATCTTAAGGTACTGCCTGTCCTTGAGATGAGATGGGTTTCTTGCAGACAGCTTAGTGCTATTTGTTTAGAATATTCTTTTCCATCCTTTCACCTTAAGGTACTGCCTGTCCTTGAGATGAGATGGGTTTCTTGCAGACAATAGAGATGGATTTTGTTTCTTAATCCATTCACTTAGCATGTGTCTTTTGACTGGGGAGTTCGGTCCATTGACATTTAAAGTTATTTTTGAAAGACGTGTATTGGTTGCCATCATTTTGATAGCTGTTTGTGTTCTTTGTCTAATTTTGTGTTTCCTCAATCATACCTCTATTTATTTTCTTTCATTGCCCCTGGAGTATAGTTGTTTCTTTCTCTGTTCTTTGTACTGCTTCAAGTATTCTTTGAAGGGCTGATTTTGTGGACATGTATTCTTTCAGGCTATTCATGTGATGGAAGATTTTTCTTTCCCCCTTAATTGTAATAGACATTTTTGCTTGGTAGAGTATTCTGGGCTGGTCTCTATTGTCATTTAGAACTGGAAATACCTTGGTCAAGAGTCTTCTGGCTTTCACAGTTTGCATTGAAAAGTCAGCTGTAATTCTGATGGGCTTTCCTTTATTTGTGACTTGTTGTTGTTGTTTTGCTGCTTTCAGTATTCTCTCTTTGTTCTGTACATTTAGTGTTTTTACTATGATATGCCATGGGGAGTTTCTTTTCTGGTCCTGTCCATTTGGTGTCCTATGTGCTTCTTGTATTTGCATTGGGATGCCTTTCCTTAATTTCGGAAATTCTCTTCTACAATACTGTTTGAGATCTGGTCAATACCACTAACCTGAAAGTCTTCTCCTTCCTCTATGCCTATGAGGCAGAGATTTGGTCTTTTCATGGTGTCCCATATCTCTTGCATATTCATTCTTGTGTTTTTTTTTTTTTAATTTTTCATAATCTTTGCTTGAGTGGCCCAATTCTTCAACTTTATCCTCCACTGTTGATATTCTGTTTTCCATTTCATTCATTCTAGCGGTGAGGCTTTCCCCTTTTGTTTCAAGTTGACTTCTTGAATTTTGCACTTCCTTCTTCATTTCTGCCTGAGTTTTCTACAATGTTTCTACCTCTTTTTTGAATTCATTCAGAAGTTTATCCCTACCTTCTTTTACTTCTTTGTATGTTCATGTGTCCTTTAAATTCATTGAATTCCTTGATGATGTTTATGAGTGTTCTTTTAAATTCTGTATCCTGGGTTATCTTTAGGGGGCGATCCTTATAGAACTCTTCTACAAAACTGGTGGAGTTTGGTGGGGACATTTTGGCTTTCCATTTTATTATTCTTTCCTTGTGATTTTGGCATGTGAATTTCTTTTATTGTTTGTGATTCTGATATGAAAATTAAGTTGAAGTTTCCTTCTGTTTGTATTATTGGTATGCCTTGGATTTCTTCTTATTGCTTATGTAAAGCTGGTTTGTCCAGGTTTCAGGTTCTCTCAGGTTTCATTTTGGAGGGAAGTGATTTCTTCAGATCAGCTACTCAGGAGCTCCCACAGAAGCCCAAGTCAAGTTCCTGTCAGGTATACTCAGTCTTCCTTCTAATATTTGGACCTCTACTAGAGGGAACTCAGGGCAAAATCTGGGAAGTTCCCTAAGGGGGAGCCGGTTTTGGGAGTCTCAGATGGTCTGCTGTGTTCTCAGCCCCTATGCCAGAGGAAGGCTGGAACAGGCACTCTGGAGGTCTGCTGAGATCCAAGATTTATCCTACCAAGTGGCAGAGGTCTACCCTGGGGCCTTTGGAGGGGCCTCACATAGTCCCAGGTACAGGGTTGGATACAGCATGATTTAGGGAAGCTCACCACCTTGTGGGAGCAGGATCCAGGTGCTCTCAGGTGGTAGTCTCCTGGATTTGGGGACGACTAAAGTATATAATCTGGGGAAGGCTAGGAAGAGAAGACTTGATTCACACTGAGTAAAGGCTTTCCAGTGTGCATACCCCCAGGTCACTCATACACCTGAGCAACCCCTCAGTCTTCTCTGTAAGTAAGCTCAGTAAATTCATTGGTTCCCCAGGAAAACTTTAATCAAACATTGGTTTGACACTAGAACCTTAAAAGGGGATAAACATTGCTTAGTATCCCCAGGAAAAGAATTCTCTTGACAGATGGAGAATTTATTTGTTAATGTTATTTTGTCTCATAATTTTTAAAAACAAAGTGAGAAAGTAAAAGATGTTAAAAGGATATGGGATTGGAGATATTTTCCAAAATAGACAGAAAAAATGAGAAATAGAAAAAGGAGAAAGCCTAATCAAGTGACAAAGGTCTGTGTAGGTTTTCTATGATATATAAAGGATTAGAAAAAAATAATATACACATAATCTTAAAATTTCCAAGGTCATAGTTTAGTCAACTAATTTAAGGAACAAAATATATGTCTATTCAAGGTTTATCTGAGAATGTTTGGTCTTTGCCCAAGCTTTTTCTACATAGCACGTGGAAATTAAAAGTACCAGACTCATGGAACTAATCTTCTTGGATGTTTAACAGCCATACTTTGAGGCCTATACTAATCTGCTCAGAGGGACATGAAGGACCATTTATGCCCCTTGCCCTCCAAGGTCAACTAAGTTCCAGTGGACTATGAAGCATCTTCAAAATGTCCTGTAACTGTGGTGAGTCACCTGTCCTCCTGTTCAGGGAGGCCATGGAGACCCCACCAGATGGATTTTAACCAGTTGTCCACTCTACAAAGAGGAGGGTCTACTCAGAGGAAACATTTCCTCCTTGCTTCAAAGTGAAGCCAACCATGGCTGAGCAGGACCTCTGACTTAACTTCACATAGATGGAACTGGTGAAAGAAAGGAGCCAGGGGCTCCTCACAAGCCCATGTGACTCCTGAGGAACAGATCCTCCAACAACCTTAAGAGTAAAAATAAATTGGTTTATTGGGCCAACTGTACGGTCTTAAACATCCAAAAGGAAAGCATAACCAAAGAGTAAAATCATCAGTATATTTCTTTAAGTGTTCAAGGGATTACAGTTCCCAGACAGGCTTAAATGCATATAAAATATTATTTAGGCAATTATTTCTCATTGATGATTTTGCTTCTAAGCAGAAAGTGTGGCTCAGATATAAAACTTCAAATCTTGGTCTGCAATACTGTAGTGCCCAACTGTAGCTGAGGGAGATAACCCACTATTGTTCTAAAATGAGGGCTAAATTTGTATTCGCCCCCATCTAGAAGCCTTTGAGAGGGAACGGACACTAATTCTAGCCACTCTAAAAGCTATAAAAGTGCCTGAAAACAAATCCTGAGTCTATCACTCTCAAGTTCAGCTTGGCAGACAAAAGAAAAATGAGGTGGAACACAATTGAGGGATCCTTTTGGAAGCTCTCAGCAAGAAATTCCAATGGACTCTCATATGGACAGTTGAAATTTGTCCTGTTCTGACAGTTTTCTGGTTCCCTGTCTAGAACTCATAATGCTCTTGCCTTTACTTCTCCTTCACATTTCCTATTCACCAGTCAAGGACTTTCTTTTATCCCTACAGATAAGAATTATGTAATTTGGGAGTCTTTTAGATAGACCCACTGAAGAGGTGCTCCAATTGCCTCACCCTACATCCCTGTTCAGCATGGAAGAAGCCAGAGTGGTCCACATCATGATGCCCTATTGGCAATTGGGGTAACCTCTTCAGAGGATGGTATGATAAGAGTTGGAAGTAGGAATTGGCTAGGCAGTTAGGGTAAAACGATCCCAAAGAAAAGTAACCAGTTTCTTGGCTAAAAGTCAGAATGACCTTGGGCCTCTTAACATATTCTGTTCTAAAGGCTAAAAATTTCAAAAGTATCTGGGAGTGCTTATGTAATCCTCAAAAGATTTTAGGGGTACCTCTTCAGAGGGGGAATGTTAGAGGAGCAAAAAGCCCCATTTTAAAAAAAAATAAAAGAGTACACAAAGTTATCAGAAAAAAGTGATGGGGAGGTAGAGGTATGGGAGGAGTTGGAGGGGAGGAAGTGGGCATGGATTTGATCAAAATACCTTATATGCATGTATGAAATTCTCAATAAAGTTTTTTTAAGTTAAAAAAATAAAGTTTCCACCTCTTAAAAGAAAAATTCTTATCATGTGGCAGAATTCTTTACCCCCATGCTGGTATGCAGAGAAAAACCTGGAGATCACAGTTTATCAAATCTTTCCAAATAGAACTTGAAAGTCAGGGAGAGAGTCTGTTTCACAAAGCGAGAATTGGAACAAAAAGAAAAAAATATTTTGAATCAAGCTCTCCTCTCCATAGTGTTCCATATATGAGAGATAAGCATCCCAAGAAAGAGAGTAATAAAATATTTCATTCACAATTCCTTCAAAATATAGCAAACTACCCAGAATTTACACTAAGTAAGGCAATTAGAGACTGTCACAATGAGAAATTTAAATCTCAAAAAAAGTAACTGAAAATAACAGCAAACAATGCAAATGACATCCACTCTCATGGTTTAGTAAAATAAGATAATGTACAAATGGCTATATTATTGAAGGTTCTCACCAAATTCCATGACATACCCATAACACTCTCAGTGATCTATTAAAAGAAAAGCCCTTCTAAAATCAACGTGCTCATATTGAAAACCACAAGTATCCAAATCAACAGTTATTAAAAGAAAGAAAAATGATCAAGGTTTCATAGTACTTGATTTCACATTATAATACACAGCCATAGGGACAGAAACAGCATGGCCATGGACACAAATCAAGCCATTTAAATCTGTGGAACAGAATCCAAAACCAGAATTAAACCAACATGTCTAAAGGCAGCCAATTTTTCAAAAAGGGCTCAAAACCCACACTGGAAATAAGACACGCTCCTAAAAAAGAGTCCATGAAAACATATTATCTAAAAGCCAAACACTGGGATTAGATCCATATCTCAAACCCTGAATAAACTGAATTGAACATGATAAAAGAAATTAGTACCAAACTTGAAATTCTGAACCTGATAGAGAAAAAGAGGCACAGTACCTAATGACGTAGACATAAGAAAGGAATTTCATAATAAGCAGGACTTCACAATCATGAGGTAGGGATCCGAATAACCATTGAATGGGATTTCATGAAATTAAACAAGAAATTAAACTGTGGGAAAAAAGAAAAGTAACCTACCCAACAGAAGAATGCCTTTGCCAGCTTTATTTCAGTCAGATCAGTATATAAATGTTGAAAAGAATTCCTGAAATTAAATACCAAAATATCAAAGTTCAAATGCTGAAACTAAACAATTAAAGAAGAAGCACAAGAGAATACCTGTTCTGGCCTCCATCGGTGTAGTGTTTGAGAACTCAGCAGACTGCCTGAGAATGCCTGGATCTGGCCTCCAGGTGGTGGTGAGCTTCCCAAAATTGTGCCCCTACCCAACCTCCTAACTGGGATGGCTTGAGACCCTTCCCATGGCCCCAGGTCAGACCTCTGTCCTATGGTAAAGTAAGGCTGAGACCTTATCAGGCAGTTTGAGTGTGCCTCTTCTGGCCTGAAAACTCAGCAGACTGCCTGAGAGAGCCAAAAATCGTGTAACTTCTGACTGGATTCACAAAAGAGATAGAAACATTGAAGAAAACTCAGGCTGAAATGAAGAAGGAAGTGAAAAACTCAATAAGCCAACGTGAAACAACAGGGGAAAGCCTCAGCACTAGAATGAATGACATGGAAAACAGAGTATCAACACTAAGGATAAAGTTGAAGAACTGGACCACTCAAGGAAAGATTACAATTTTTTTTTAAAAAAAAACCACAGGAATGGAATATGCAGGAGATATGGAACACCATGAGAAGACTAAATCTACATATCATAAGCATAGAGGAAAAAGAAGAGTTTCAGGTTAATGGTATTGACCAGATCTTAAACAGTATTGTAGAAGAGAATTTCCCAAAATTAAGGAAAGACATCCCCATACACATACAAGAAGCATATAGAACACTAAATAGACAGGACCAGAAAAGAAACTTCCCACAGCATATCATAGTAAAGCCACTTAATGTACAGAACAAAGAGATAATACTGAAAGCAGAAAAAAAGAAAAGTGACATATAAAGGAAAGCCCATCAGAATTTAAATGACCAAAGATGTAAGCCCAAACTACTTTATCCAGCAAAAATGTTTACTATAGTTGAGGAGGAAAGAAAAACCTTCCATGGGACAAATAACCTGAAAGAATACATGTTCACAAAACCAGCCCTTCAAAGGATACTTGAAGCAGTATAAATAACCGAGAAAGGAACAACTATACTCCAGAGGCAACAAAGAAACTAAATAAGGATATAATGGTGAAACACAATATTAGGAAAAGAATGCAAACAGTAATCAAAATAATGGCAACAAATACACATCTTTCAATAATAACTTTAAGTATAAATGGACTAAACTCCCCAGTCAAAAGACACAGGCTAAGTGAATGGGTTAAGAAACAAAATCAACCCCCAAGTCCCTTTAGTCAGGGTATTGTTTTCTGATTGGTCTGTGCCACACAGTCTGTCAGTAGTCACTGGGCTCACGAGCAGGGTATGGAGGCTTGGGCTCCTTTTGGTGGGCTATTTGCAGATCAAGAAGTGAAGTGAATTTTCACTGAATCCCAGGGTTCTGGGTCCGTGTTCTTTGGAGGCCTCCTGCTACAAACCAAGAAGATGTTACAATCCCTGTCATAGATGCACCAAATTCTGGTGCACCCAAATTCATAAAAACAACACTACAGGACTTTAAGACACAAATTAACCCCAACTCAGTAATAGTAGGCAACTTCAATACCACACTGTCTCCACTAGACAGGTCAACTGGACAAAGAATAAACAGATGTCTGAATTAAATGATACCATACATCAAATGGACCTAACAGACATCTTTTGAATATTCCACCCAAGCACCAAAGAATACACCTTCTACTCAGCACCCCATTGAACTTTTTCCAAAACTGACCACATACTGGGCCACAAAAGAAACCTCAACAAATACAAAAATATTGAAATAATTCTGTGCATTCCATCGGACCACAATGCAATAAAGCTCAAAATCAACACTGGAAGAAGCCCTAGTCACTACAGGAACTTATGGTCATTAAACAAAACACTCCTAAATAATGAGTGTGTCAAAGGAGAAATGAAGAGAGAAATAAAAGAATACCTGGAATTCTACAAAAAGGACAATACAACACAACAAAACCACTGGGACACTTGAAAAGCAGTCCTAAGATGAAAGTTTATAGCTCTCAGTGCCTACATTAAAAAAATTATCAACAAAATACTTGCAAGCCGCATACAGATGTACATCAAAAAGATCATTCACCATGATTAACTAGACTTTATTACAGATATGCAGGGATGGTTCAATATACACAAGTCAATAAATGTCATCAATCGTATAAAGGGACTTAAAGACAAAATCCACATCATCACCTCAATAGATGCATTAAAGGCTTCTGACAAAATTCACCATGCATTCATGATAAAAGTTCTAAAGGGAATTGGACTGGAGGGAACATAGCTCAACATAATTAAGGGTATATACAACAAACCCATAAGCAACATCATTCTAAATGGAGAAAAACTGGAAGCACTCCTAGTAAAATCAGGAACGAGACAAGGATGTCCACTATCTCCACTCCTTTTCAATATAGTGCTTGAAACTCTTGCTACAGCAGTAAGACAGGAGGAAATTAAAGGAATATTAATTGGAACAGAAAACATCAAATTATCTCTTTTTGCAGATGATATGATGCTATAATAGGAGATCCCAGAAGTTCCACCAAAAAACTCCTAGAACTGATCAACACATTCAACACAGTGGCAGGTTACAAAATCAATCTAAAAAAATTAGTAGCCTTTCCATGTACCAATAAGAAGCAATAGGAAAAAGTAGAATGAAATGCTTCCATTCACACTAGCTTAAAAACATATATCTTGGAATAAACCTGACCAAAGACATCAAAGATCTCTACAATGGAAATTTTAAATGTTTAAAGAAAGAGATTGAGGAGAACACTAGAAGATATAAGGACCTCCTATGCTATGGATTGGAAGAATTATTTTTTTGAAAATGACCATCCTACCAAAAGCAATATAAACATTCAATGCAATCCCAATCAAAATCCCCATAACATACTTCACAGATTGAGGGAAAAAAATCTTTAAATTCATATGGAAGCACAAAAGACCCCAAATAGTCAAAGAAACCCTGAGTACCAAGAACAACACTGCAGGGATTACTATACGAGATATCACAGTATACTACAGAGTTATAGTCATAAAAACAGCACAGTACTGGCACAAAAATAGACATATAGATCACTAGAACATCATTGAAGACTCAAACCTGAATATACACAATTTCAGCCACCTGATATTTGACAAAGGTGCCAAGAATACACAATGGAGGAAAGACAGTGTCTTCAACAAATGGTGGTGGCAAACCTGGATCTCCACCTGCAGAAGAATGAAACTAGATCCTTATCTTTCACCTTGCACAAAAGTCAACTCCAAATGGATCTCAATGTGAAACTATTAGAAGAAAACATTGGTAGTTGCCCATGAGATATAGGTGTAGGAAAGGACCTTTTAAATTGGACACCAGTTGCTCAGGAATTAAGGCCAAAAATCAACAAGTGGGACCTCATTAAACTAAAAAACTTCGATACAGCAAAAGAAACAATGAAAAAGTGAGGCGAAAACCTACAGAGAGGGAAAAAACCTACCTTTGTCAGTGACACATTTGATAGAGGTTTAAATTCAGAATATAGAAAGACCTCAAGAAACAAAGAGAAACAAATCACCCAGTTAAAAGATGGGTCAATGATTTAAACAGAGACTTCTTAAAGGAAGAATTAAATATGTTAAAAATTGTTCAACATCGTTAGTAATTAGGGCAATACAATTTAAAACCACCTTAAGATTTCATTTTTCCCCAGTCAGACCAGCCAAGATCAAGAGAAAAAAATGATACCAAATTCTGTCAAGGATGTGGACAAAGGGGAAGGCACATTCACTGCTGGTGGGATTTCAAACTCGTGCACCCCTATGGAAAGCAGTGTGGAGAACTCTTAAAAAAATAAAAATGAACTACCATGTGCCCTGGTTGTACCACTCCTTGGCATATACCCAAAGGACTCATCCTATTGCAGAGACACTTGTACAATCATGCTTGTTGCTGCTCTTTTCATAATAGCTAAGAGATGGAAGCAACCTAAGTGACCCTCACTGATGAATGGTTAATGAAAATGTGGTACATTTACATAATGGAGTTCTATTCAGCAGTGAAAAAATACGAAATAGTGAAATTTTCGGGTAAATGGATGGATCTAGAAACTTTTATACTAAGTGAAGTAACACAGACTCAGAAAAACAAAAGACGTATGTTCTCTCTCATTTGTGGATCCTAGCACCAACTCCTTATAAGTGAAGGCATATCCTGATGCAACTACAGGGTCCATGAATATGGAAGAGAAACAGAGATGTAAAGGGAAAGAAGGCACCCCAGAGAGAAGAATAGGATAAAGGTATTACAATGGAAGAAATATGTAAAGAGGATTGGGGGAGGGGCACTATAGAAAGAACTATGGGAATAAAGGAAAAATTTTTTTTTCCAGGTACACAGTTAAAAAAAAAAAAAGCCTTCAGCACAGAAGAAACCTTATGAAAGCCCTTCTAGAAGCAATACGGTTGTTAAATGAAAATCACAGTGACAGAGGTGGGTTGCCCCCTATGAGCTATTGGCTTGAGGGGCCCTACAAGCCTCCAAAACAATAAAGGCCATTGCCAATAATGTTGGTTTTACACCAGAAGTGAATGGAAAAATCCTACTGCTGAAGACACTATTTGATGTAAGCACAGAAGAGGGAGAAATCAAGCTTGGACTAAGCTGAAAACTCCCTCCCACTGGATGGTTGGCTTTCATGGTGCCAGAAGTGATATGCAGATGACTGGGGGAGAATCGTCCCCTATAGTTCTGTTCAAGGACTGACCCATCATGTTGCACTAGCAACATACCTAACAAGATGCTGCTGCTGGTGCAATAGTAGAACGTCTAGTGTACATACAACCAGTAAATTTTCAGTTGGATATGTAGCCTGCTTTCAGGGGTGGAAAACGCATGATACCATAGACCAGTCCAACCCCCTGGCAGGGGAGAATATAGGCCTCCCAGTGGGAAGCAACTACAATTGTTTTGTTGGATGGATGTGATGCACTGGCTAAAGAACCATCCAAGCATTTGTGTTTATACCCATAGTTGATGGTATTATAGCAGCCACTGCTTAGATGTTCTTGCTTCTTGCTGTTTGTGTTTTTATACTAGATGGAATCCCACTGAAACGGGTCAGCAGTCCATGGAAAACTGATGATGAAGAGACCCAAAAGTTCAGTGCCTTGCCACAATGGGACGAAGATCATCCCACACCTACCGCCCCCTCCAAGGCTCAGGGACTTTTGTGGAAGAGGTTGGTGGAAAGAATGTAAGAGCCGGAGGAAGCGGTGGAGTGTTAATTGGAAGTGTTCGCCGACTACCATGCTGGCAAGCTATAATCATATCTCCTTCCCACACTCATCAAGGATGTGAGGGGGGAGTCAGTTATCCCTCCCATCCAATTAGTCGATCACAGCAGCATCTGGGGGAGGGGCTAAGCATATATATGCCGAGAATGCTAGAAGGCACCTCTCACCATTTTGTGGGGCTGTCAGGAAGTCACGAGATCTATATTTGAGTCTGGACTTTCCAGTGCCACCATAAATGGGGGGCACCCAATCTTCCATAAATAAATCCTGACTCTATGCTCTGGTAACAAACCCCACAAACTAGTTGGGATTTTCAATAAAGAAAAAAAAATACAGAACTAAGGGAAACCTTCATTAGTCCACCAAAGTTGCGCTTATGTTGGCAAATCCTTTAGTCTTTGATTTTTTTTTTTGTCTTTTTGGGATAGGGTCTTCTGTGACCCCAGCTGGCCTGGAGCTTGCTGGGTGGACCAGACTGGCCTAGAGCTCACAGAGATCTGCAGGGCTCTGACTGCCAAGTGCTGAGATTGAGGACATGTGTCACCATGCCTGCCTTCAGTCTTTGATTTCTTTCTTTCTCTTTCTCTTTCTTTCTTTCTTTCTTTCTTTCTTTCTTTCTTTCTTTCTTTCTTTCCTTCCTTCCTTCCTTCCTTCCTTCTTTCTTTCTTTTTTTCTGTCTTTGTTTTTTTGCTTCTTTTTGAGACAGGGTCTCCCTGTAAATCTAGCTGGCATGAAACTCTCTATGTAGACCAATCTGGACTTGAACTCATAAAGATCTGCTTGACTCTGCCTCCCATGTGCAGAGAGTAAGGCATGTGCCACCACGTCTGGCTTAGTCTGTGATTTCTTTATCCCTACTTTTCAACCTTTGAACTTCATTGTATATATATTTTTATGTAACCTGCTTCAAGTTATTTCTGGAAAAATGTGTTAAAAATTGCCTTTCTTTGGGATAATAAACATATTCTTAAAAATTAAAATTAACAATTAAAAAAAAAAGAAAAAGCACAAATTGCCAGTGAATATATATAAAAGTGTTAAACATCTTTAACCATAAGAGAAATGCAATTTTAAAACCGAGTGGGATTCCTGCTCCAGTCAGTCAGAATATTGACACTTAGAAACAAATGCCAATAAATGCTGGGGAGGATGTGCAGCTTCCAAAACCCAAAGATTACACTTTCAGGGTTGGACAGGGCAATAGAGTTAACGTCAAATAGTATACAAGATCAGTATTTCACAGTCTCCTCTCACCAATCTGGAACATAGACATCAACAGTAGGTAGAAAACAGAGGAATCCACAAATGTCATGTGAAAGTCACACATATGTAATGAATTCTTATCTAAAATAAGAGGAGAATATAGAATTTCCTGCTAAGTAAATATTCTAAGTGAGTCTCACCACAGGTTTACAGTCAGTTTTGGAAGAAATGCATTAATTTTAAAACAATGGAAATCACAAGGAATCAGAAGGGCACAAATATTTTCAAAGCAGAAACAAAATAAATGACACAAAATTTACTAATTTCAAAATATTATAAAAACCTGACTAATAGGCCTTCATATATACCGCAGAATGATATAGGGAGTACAAGTCATGGAGAGGATGTAACATGATCAAATATTTGTATGAAATGCAGAAAAATTTAATAAAATATATATCTTGTAAAAATATTGGAAGAGGAAAAAATCAGCCATTATATTGTACTGGCAAGAAATTGGACATGGGAGATATGAAAAAGTTAAATAAAAAATTAAATAAAGTGATATTTACATACTAGTAATTTCCACATAATTCACATGCAATAAAAGTCATTTGACATTTACTGCAGGACATATCTTGATGAAATTGCCATAAATTAAATTATCAGGCTGTCTTTCTGATACTGAAACAGACTATGGCAAAACCATGCTCAGGTCTTCATCCTTCTTTACTTAGGACCTCTCACCTGGGCCCATCCTTCATCCACTCAAACCTACCTGGTTGACTACAGTCTCCCCTCTCTTCTTATTCCAGGACTCTTTGCTTTGCTCCAGACAGGAGACCAGGACAGGCTTACACACAGCAAGACCTGTGTATGAAAAAGAGTCACATGACATTTGCTGGATTCTTTAGAAAGCACCGGGCTTTTAACACAGTACTGTGTGCTCCACTGATAATATAGAGAAAAGAGATGGCTTTCGACATTATTTTTCAATTATTCTTTTAGGATAGACTCATTAGATACACAGGATTTTTTTTTCATTTTTCATATGCTGAGTGTGATGAATAATCATGGGTGTCGACTTGACTGGATCTGGAATTAGCTGAAATGAGAGAGATCTTCTTATAAATGGATCATCTGAAGCTGAAAGACCTGCCTTAAATGTGGGTGTTTCCTTCTGATGGCGGCCCGTGATGGCGGCCCGTATGAAAGGCCATGCCAGAGGAGAACACCTGGCTTTTTGCTGCTTGCCTTCTCTCTCGCTGGTGAGTTCGGACTGAAGACTAGCTGATCTTTTGGAATTCGTCAGACCTTCAGTGCCAGATTGGGACTACTGAGACATCCAGCATTGTGGACTGAGTGACTATAGATTTTCAGCCTCTCCAGTGTGGTGCAGCCATTGTTGGACTACTCAGACTCCATCCTGTGAGCTAAGCTGATAAATCTCTATACATATATAGTCATTCTACCTGTTCTGTTTCTTTGGAGAACCCTGACTAATACACTGAGTTCTATCACTGATTCACAATGCAGCTACGGAAATGGAACTTTGAGATTCTGGCTACAGTATCATGTACTAATGGGTGGCTGAAATTAACACCAAAAACAATGAATATTTCTATCAACTGAAAATGGAAAGAAATGATAAAAATAAACAAGCTGTTGATGCCCAAACATTCCAAATGCACTAATTATGAAGGAATCCAAGATCTAGTCAGCAAAACTAACATATGTACAAAGCACACTGCTATCTGTCAAAGGATGCAGAACAGTAAGAAATTCTCAAAGAAAAATCTCCTCACCTTATGGACACCAGTCTATTGTAGTTCTCCAACATCATCTCAGTGTACAAAGACCTCTGAGCAGAGTCCAGGAATTCACACTTTTCCTGGGAGAAGTCAAAGACACATCTGTAAACGACAATGGATTCTAAAATGAAAAATGACAACTTGACCATGTACCCATGAACAGGGTACTGAACCCATGGAAAAAAAGAGATAATTAGTAAAGAAGTTCTGAAGTAGAGGAGCAATCTGAATTATTCAAAAGGCTATTCCTTTCTTTTTTCTCTTTTCTTTTCTTTTTTTTTTTCTTTTGGTGTTTCTTAAGAGAGGGCCTCCCTGTAACCCCAGCTTTCCTTGAACTCACTATGTAGACCAGGCTGGCCTTGAACTCACAAAGATCAGCCTACAGAGTGCAGGGATTAAAGGCATACACCAGAACGCCTGGCTAAAAGGATATTTCTTAATTTAATAGGTCGCTATAATCTACTCCCTAAATCTCTGCAACTAAGACCAGCATCAGATCCTGCAATTTTTTGTGCAGATTATGATGTTAAGGAGCACAGCACATAAATTAAGCCCTCAACATAGGAATACCATTGCCCTCCTGTATTCATGGCATACAAGATCAGTTGAATATATTTCTTTATTCCATGTAAAGTCACCCTGATGCATAAGTCTGCTTCATGAATTCGAATATTTATAACCATTCACTGTAGTCCTAACTAAAACATAGATTTTTAACTTTATGGGATCTGTGGGTGGGGCTGTCTTAACCTTTTGTTAACAGGCTTTTCAGTGAGGCCAGTGACCCAGGTATAAAGGACACATTCTCCAATAGCACAGAGCAGATCATGGCAGAAGAATAAAGGAGGAGTTTAAATGAAGAGTGCCATGGACTGTGTGCGTTTTCCCTCAATAGCAAGAAGAGAAACAACCCTTGTGAAGCATGTCCTAGAACCTGCATGCAATGAAGAAATTATGGAAACATTAGCACATAAAACATTCTAACAGAATCTTTTTATATTAGTCTCACATATATATGAGAGATTTTATCTTCACATTTATCTTCACATATGTGTGTGTGTGTGTGTGTGTGTGTGTGTGTGTGTGTGTCTTTTTGAGAGTAGGTCTCCCTGCAGGCCCAGCTGGCCTGAAACCTACTATGTAGACCAGGTTGGCCTCAAACTCATGAAGATCCCCCCTGCCACTGCCTCCTAACTACTGGGATTAAAGGCATGCACCACCACACCCTGGTTAAAACAGCGAATATTTTCTGTAAGAAAGTGTATGGGGTCCAGGCCCTTGGATGTATTTACCTGAAAAGAAGCCATCGCTCTACTCCTTCACCAGTTTGTTTTCTAGGAAGTCTTACATAAACTGTCTGTCTTTTGAAAAATTTCCTTTCAGTTCACTGAAAATCTACTTCACCTGTCATCATAACAAGAGGAAGAAGCACCTCAGAAAAAGAAAAAACAAAACAACAAAAAGAACAGGCCTTTATCACTGTCTGCCATCACAGCAGATGCACAAGAAGAAAGAGCTCAACATGGAGACCCCATAGAAGTTTCTTATCTCCGGCCTTCAAGTGGCCGTCCTGCCAGAAAGATCAAGAATTCCTGTGACATCATGGGACTGTAGCCGCCTCACCTCCTTACTTAAACAAGGCGGAGTAACATGGTTTTCATCCTTTGGAATAGAGGCTACACTAAGCTTTCTCCAGAAGCACTGGCAGCTGACCCCCAGCCTCACCTTCTAATGCCTGTTGCTGTTCATTGAAACAGCAGTGACGCTTCTACTGAGCTTCATAGACAGAATCTGTGGGGGAGGCACAAGGGAGAGTTTTTCTTTTAAAGGCTGAAGTTCAGGCACAGTTCATTGGGAGTTTTAAAAAGTCCATTCTTAGGACTGGAGAGATGGCTCAGAGGTCGAGAATACTGGCTGCTCTTGCAGAGGATGCAGAATTCGTTTGCAGCTTCCACGTTGTGCTAACTGTACTCAACACCTGTTCCAGGCATTCCCACACTAGCTTACGGCCTCCGCAGACATGGCTCACATGATTGACTGCACATCCATGCAAGCAAAACCCTCTTGCACATAAAATGAATAGGTTTAAATAAAAATGCAATCTTTATTGTGTGATGACACAATATTTTATATATTTATGAAGTGGTCCTCATATTTTGAAAGACAGATACATTGAAGGTATATCTAGTCAGTCATTTATATATTCACTTGTAAAATTTTATCAGTTCCTGTGGTGAGTATATCCAAATTGATCTTTTCTAAAAATTTTAAGAAATAAAATGCATGTTGGAGAATTTTATTCACCGTGTTGTGGCACAGAACAGTAGAACTTAGTTTACCCATGAAGCCATGACACTGTTTGTTATTTATGTCACATTCTCTCCATTCCCTGCAAACTGCTATTGTACCTTCAACATCTATCATCTCTTTTTTCTTTTTGTATTTCTCTTATGACTGAGATCGTGTAGTGCTTGCGTCTCAACTTCCTTTACCTGATACAGTGTCCACCAGATCAATCCAGTTTGCAAGTATGATATGATTCTACTCTTTCCTATGACGGAATTGTGGTGTATTCTTCAGAAATATCACATTTCAGTAAATCTTTCATTTGTTAATGGGCATTTAAGTAGATTTCTTATTCTTTAAACCGTGCTGCCGTAATTAGGGAGTGCACATATCTCTATGCCATACTGAATTTGTTTCCTTTGAGTATATATGCAGGATTTGGTGTAGAATCCACACTTCAGAGAGAACACCTGTGCCTAGATTTTTGGCATCTGTTTTACCTCACTTAGTATAGCCATTTCTAGTTACATCCACTTACCTGCAAATTCCTTGATTTCCTATTCCTTTACCTCTGAGTAGAACTCCATTCTATAAATGTACCAAATTTATATGATCCATTCATATTCTGAGGGACATTTAGGTCATGCATTTGAATTTCAAAGAAAGTAGAATAGAAACTTTAAAAAAAAAAACTCTGGCTTATCATATACTTATCTGAGACATAAAATGTGTCTCTTCTGATGAACTGGGAGAGCTTTAGCTGAAATTAAGACTCTCCCATTCTTGAAATTTCAGGGGCAATATTTAAGGAACAGTCAATTTATTATAATTAGGTTTATAAGGCAGTTTTCAGTCTCAAAATTATCCTGTGACATTTCTTCCAGAATATACATTTTAATGTGAAAATTCATGAAACTGTAATTGTGTTAATAGTGAATTTCAAAAATATTTTGTGAACAAAATATCACATTGTACCTCCTAAATACATACGGTTCTTTTTGTCAAAAATTAGTGTTAAGGGGCAGGTAGATAGCCCAGAGGTTCAGAGCAATGACTGCTTTTTCAGAGGACCCAGGCTCAATTCCCAACACCCATATTGGAGCTAACAACCACCTGTAACTATGGATATGGGTTTGTGACACACTCTACTAACCACTGACCTCCGTGTGCATTGACATGGATGTATTTACATACATGCAAGCAATACACTCAACACATAAAATAAAAATAATAAAACAATTTTTAAAAATTAATATTAAAAGGGGGAAACTATTCTGTAATTTTGCATTTTAATTTATGGATGTCTGACTTCATGCCTCACAAATGTACTTTCTAATAATTGATGATAATTTGTTTCCACACTAACAAAGTGTGCACGTGTGTGTCCCTCATGATCACCTTCCACTTGAGTGTGTTTTAGGACATCACCATGACCCCCAGGATCCTAGATGGTCACAGCTTAATTCACAAGACACCAAGTGCTCTACCACATTTGTATTCCTGGGCTGTGTGGTTCATGCTTTGAGTACTTAGAAAGGACCTGGATCTCTAACACAATAGTGAGCTCAACAGATAAAGAGAGAACACAACAGGGAATTCTAACAATGAGTCTCTGATTGGAATATTCTGTCAGAACACTGATAATATTTACAGAGCTTTTCACTTTGCAGAATTAGTATTCCATTTCTAATTACAGCTCTGCTACAATTCCAGGTTGGAAATGGGGCTTTATGTTTGGGGTGACACTTGGGAGGCAGAGGCAGGTGGATTTCTGTGAATTTGAGGCCAGCCTGGTCTACATAAGACCAGAACAACAACAACAAAATTCTGAATTTATCATGGAACAAAAATATAAGAATCATAATGCCTCCCAAAGGACAAACATGAAAAGAGACATGATTCGAGTCTTTAGAAAGTACCTGGATTGCATTGCAATGTTCTTTTCTCCTCTGAGAATTTCACTTCATGAGATGTGAGACTCACTCACACAAAGTTAACCCCCACACACACAATAGTTCATCAAGGAACTCCGAGAATGAATAAGACATTCTGTAAAAGAAAATAATCTCACCAACAGATCGAGAGAGCTGTAATTCTTCACTACCTTCAGGTCTCTTTACAAACAAGGCCCTTTCAGCAGGATCTAGGCACCCCCTCTTCTCCTGTGAGATGTCCACATCACCGAATGTCAACACACCCTGAAATGAACAATAATAGTTTGACCACCTGTCCATAGGCAGATTGCTTTTCTTGAATCAAGGACATCAAAGTGACTGAGAGGCATTTTCTGTTATAGGGAGGATCATAGTACTCTGAAGATTCTTTTAGACATTGCCATATTCTCTACTGGATTTTCTAACTGTGGAAATAGTAAGGCAGAATATCCTCGTATGCAGGGTGTGTACTATGCTGTTTTTGTTTTGGTTTGGTTTTTTTGTTTGTTTGTTTGTTTTTGGTCTTTTTGAGACAGGATCTCCCTGTAGACGAGCTGGCCTGGAACTCCCTATGTGAACCAGGCTGGCCTTGAACTCACAGAGATACACCTGCCTCTGCTTCCCAAGTCCTGGGACTAACGTAGGGTCTAAAATTAAGATCTCAATCTAAGAATATACATTTAAATGCTAGATTCATATCATACATCATATATTTCAAATGGAACATTAATGGTGAATTTAAAGTTTATTTACTAAGTGTTAATGCTTACAAGTATAACTACAGATGTCTGTGAAAAATATATGTTCACATTCAATGCAGTCTAGAAGCATTCCTTGTGTGACCATTTCTAACAAGCTCTCTCAGTACGGCAACTCCCTGCGTCCAAATGCCACTCAGTTA